TAGAAAAGAAAACAGTTTGAATACTATCACTAGTAATAATAGTAATAGTGATAATAAAATAGACTCTGTACAAATCTATACAAAGTGAGTCTGAACCCAGCTCCCCTGATGTCAATACGTCCCCGTCACCCCCGGCTGGGGAGCAGCCCCTGGGGAGAGGGTCCCAGGCTGGACTCATAGATGGTGACTGGGCACAGGAGCTGGATTTGGGAACTCAGTTCAGGAGCACAGGGCTCAGGATCAAAGGCAGGATGGATGAAGTCCTCCTCGGATGCAGCCACTGCAGCAGCAGCCATGAAGAGCACTCCTGTTTGACACCTGGTGGCAGCAAACCACTAAAGGTAACTTAAAAAGAAAAAATTGTCTGGGTATGAAAGCCATGAGGCAAAGTAATAGATTCCCTAAACGTATTTATTTTGACAAGTAAGTTTGAGGACATATTCTTTACATTTCTCAGCAATGCAGTGACTCATGAATAGAGAAGTCTTGACCATGCTAGCAATCCTGTGATGCAATTTGTGACTTAATAGGGAAACACACTGAGAAATGTAAATTAAATACAGATATATTTTCAATTTCTTATAATGGGTAGTAAAGAACAGTTATTCCTTATACTATGGTTTCTTAGGTTTCAGAAAACACAAAGAGTAGAAGATTTAACCTCTGGGAGTCTGAGTCGAGGCTTGAAGTTTTCTTCTAAGAACTTCTAATTCCACATTTGAGATGCTATAAAATAGCTACAGGTATTTGAGGCTGTTCAACATAAATAGAGCTCATTTAGATGGTAGAGAAATGAGACTTTAATGTTAGTGCTTACCAGATCTTAAGTTTATCAAAATAAATACTACAAAGTTATGATTGGAAGGCTGACTTTTATGAAAAAAAGCTGAACTGAAGTTTGGTTTTTTTGTATACACTTGCAAAGGTTTTCAGTACTAGGACACACTGTTGAATATCTCACAGCACATCAGAATAAGACATTATTTCTAAACTAATGCAAATGCTTCACAGATGATAGAAAAATGTTCCATCTTGAGGACAGAAATAAACCTTTTCTCTGAAATCTCCTCCAGAGTTTGTAACCACACTGAGAATAAGAGAATAGTCGTTATATATTGATACTTCTTTACATGAGGGCTACATAGAAATATGCCAGTACCTAAAAATTCTTCTGATGTGCCAGGTTATACAAAAGCATTCTCTTGGAAGTCTGTCACACAGCCAAAAGCTAAGCCATACAGCAAGAGAACAACTTCTGTGTTGTGTGGGGTTTGTTGTAGTTGTTTTCTTTTTATTATTTTTGTAATGCATTTATTTTGTGTTAGCACATAAATTATGTTAGCAAGATAAGGAAAGGTAAGAGCTGCGTGGTCTAGTGGATATGTAGGTTTTGAGACTGGAAAGCACCAGTGGGAAGATGAGTCAGATCAGAGCCATAATTTGGTTTAAGCTCTATCGATATGGGAAATTTGTGTTTTGAAGTGAGAGTGAATCCACAGAATTCCTGTAATCTGTTTCAAGGGTTGATTACCCTACTTGCCAAAATTTGCTGCTTCTTACAGACATTGCCTGGAGGTTCTGTGTCTTATTACTGTTTCATGAAGTGATACCAATAAATTTTATTTATGCTTATTTATTTGTTTTCCTGTAACTTTAGAAAAAAATGGAGGGTATTACTTGTAAAGAAACTCAAGAGCACAAAAAAGAAAGGAAGCCTTGGCTGCAGAAAGTCGTGTAGTAATCACCTGCCAGCATGGTGTAAGCTTGTTGTAGTTTCTTGCTGACCATAGGCAGGTTTACAGCAAATAACAAGTAATCAGTAACAAATTGTTTTTAATGTGACAGAGGGAGTGATTTCCCAAATAGTGCTCCTCTTTGCCTACGGTTGTATTGTCTAGGTGTAAGGACATGCTACTGCTTATCTTCAACTCTACAGGAGAAATTAAGATTTCAGGGCTGAGTTTTCCCCCAGGTGTAACTCTGCAGAAGTCATCAGTTCCAGGAATTTGTGCAGTTCTTTCCTGGACATTACTGGTTGTACATCTGTCTCTTACTTCAAGGTGACGTACATCTGGGGATTTCTGGAGGAAATGCTCATAATGTCATTTCATTGTTCCTTGAGACCATCAAGATGTGCTGTTTCATGCTTTATGTTAAAACAGTAAATGGTGTATCTGATTTTAAAAGTTAAATAAGCCTTGCTTGTTCCCTTTGACAGGCACTTATGTACTTCATTTCAGCCACCCAATTTCCAACTGTTGTAAATTTCTCAAGGGGCTTAAAATGTGCCCTTACATTTTCATATGCAAATTTATTCACTTTCCTATGTGAATTTAATATAAAATTTAAACTGAGTGCTTTGACTGCACGCCAGTTAAAATGTGAAAGCAGTAGTTTCTGGCCAGATATCAGAAAAAAAGTGACAACTCAGTTTTATGTCTGCAAAATATGTACAGGAAAATGAAGTAGACATCTCGGTACGCAATGCCTGGTAAACAGATTGAGTACTGGCTGTTCCTCATTTAGCTTTATTCTCCTCCTAGCAAATAGCTTGCCAGCTGTGTAGCTGTTATTCTGTCTTGCACCACACCAAAATGATTGATATAAAGTCTCACTGTATTGTATATTCAACGCAATGTCTTTAAAATATTTTCTGTTTTCAGTCTGTAAATATATTTTTTTGCAAATTCCCAATATTTAGTCTTTTGCAGGGAGTCTTTTGACCCACTACAGAAAGTTAATATGGCTTTCTATTACCAGTAAAATATATTGTTGTTTGTGTTGCAGGTAAATGATGAACAATAGCAGTAACAGCTTCTCCACTGTCAAAATCTACTTCAAGGTCACTGCTGTGCCCATGTAAGCAACACACAAAAGCTATCTCTGATAATTCTAGGGAGAGTCTCATGATGCACAAAGCCAAAAATTCGCCAAGTGTTGTTCACACTTGGGCTACCTGAACGAGATGAGCAAAAGGAAAATTGTAAGGTGCAGTGAACCTGTGTGGCCTTAATCACAACTCAGAATAAATGATCATCAAACACCAGTTTGTGAAATAAGTATCAGAACTATATGAAGGGCTCTGTTTTTCTCTCATCCAGTGATTAACACTATATGGCTTATGCAGAGCTTGTTCCTGAATATTTACTCATACAAATAGTCATTCAAACTTGTGGAATGATAACGAAGGAATGAATGTAATGGATCTTCTGTAGAGTTTTCTGTAAATAATTAATTGTAAATCTGTTAAAAAAAAATAAACCATGGAAAAAGTAGACTACATGGTGCCATGGAGCTCCTGGTTGCCATTTTTATTGTGTACTGACAGTTGATTTACAAATGGAAACTGAACTCACCTAAGTATCTCTAAAAATGTGTTTCAGGAGAAATGCTACTATTGGATGGCTCAAAATGAAGCAGTGACTTCACTTGCAAGTGCAAAATCCAATATAAATCAGATACAAGGTGCATTCAGTGCACTGTGTCCTCATTGTCCCTTCTTCCAGAAGGAATAATGTTGTGCAAAGGGGGTTGAGACTTGAGCAAAGTCAGGAAGGACTGCTTTCCCTCAAACTAAGCATCTGCCAATCCATCTCTTTATATTTCCCAGTAGGCACTGGCTTTGACCATAGCTGAAGGTCTTACACTGTCAGTCTTCACCTCTGCACAACGACCCTTGGCAGTCAGTACTCCTCAGCAAGCTGAGGCTGGGCACTATGTACCTGGCCAGAAAGGGCACCCTAATAGCTGTGCTTGCTCTACCAATAATGACTGTCTGCTTATTCTCTGCAGGTCACCCTTCAGCCTGACAATGCCTGGTCTCAAATGCCTCACCTTGTATGAAAATCATTGCAGGCTTGTGCCTGATGTAATGAGTGGATGTGTTGGAGAAATGCTCAGGTGTCAAGAAATATCCGCATCGAATGCTCTGAGTTAGCCCCTTTTCATTCAAGAAAATTCCCAGCTGAGATCCCAAAAGAAGGTAACTCACCTGGAAATAGTATTTAAGATTCTGGTACCATCAATATAAGAAAATGGCTTCATCTAGTTCATGATAGTGCACTTGAAATTAGGATGATTCATTGCAGGTAAGCTCACCCCAACAAGCTTGTACTTGTGTATTTCAAAGGTCTCATTGGGCTCACTTGTAGCACAGAGCAATTCTGTGCAAAAGTAAAGGGGGGCATGAGTGAAGTCAGTCACCATCCAACTGAACAGAAATTGCTTTCCAGTAAATCATATTGCTTATGATTGCCTACCCAGGTCAGGTATTAGGAAAAAATCATGGAAAATCAGTCTGTACATGAGTACTGGTGCCCCAAGACTCCCATGTTGCACAGCAGAAGGGCATTCTCATGTTACTCTTCTTTCACAAAGATGTTTCTCCTTTCGTCAAAAGTGGGTAATAATTTTCTACTCCTTGAAAAAGATTCCTTAACTTGGAACAAAGGTATGATCTTCTAAGTTGAACTTTCAGAGTATAACAGGTGCTTCTCTAACGACACAAAGATCTACCTGAAGTTGGGTTAGTTTTACATTCAAAGTGTAGAGTTTTTCTCTGTTTACTTATACATATACATCATTATTTTGCCTTGCACAAAACATTGCCTGTTAGAGCAGACAATGCAGGTTATGGGAGCAAACAATCTACTCATCAGTCTAACTGAAAGACCTTTAAAGAAATTCAGCATTTATCTCAAGTCTGACAAAATAAGACAACTCAAAATATTTCGTATGTTATCCTTCAGTTAAATAGATGTACTTACAGTTGGGGTTGAATCAATAGATCTTGTGGCTTTTTTAAAAACCTCCCTGTTTTTTTGTTAACTCAAGTTTTGGGTAATTAAACAATCCTTGTGGCACTATACCTAGAGACATCTTCCAGGGAGACTGAGAGACCCTCATCTTAAAGGATGCAATTTGATTGCCTCTTTTTCTGTCAGCATACCCATAAAGCTGCTCATGAAAGTTAAATTATTTCAGGTAAGGTTCTGTATTTTCAAATTAGTTAGGAATCATGTGTGGAAAACTTTTTTAAAATTAACTCTCTTGGAGTAAAAGCATTGGTGTGAAAATATGTTGATAGTGGACAGTAGAAAAAAACCCAACCAACCAACAAAACTCATGTGTTATATTTATCCCAATCATTATTTTTCTATTTTAATTGGATACCTTGAAAAGTGTCCTGCTTGGAAAGGAGTGTGGAAAAAACATCTATCTTTAAAAAGCTTTCTAATCTTAACCAGACAAATTTAAACAACTATTTTATAATGAAGTAAGTAAAATATCATCACTAGAAGAACGGATTGAGGTTTTAGTAATGACATATTTTCCTACTTGGCTTTGTTTGTGTTTTAGAAGCCTTTAGATTTCAGTAAATGTGAAGTGTTAGCATTTTGAAGGATTACAATGCCTGTTATTTTTCACTATGTGTTGTAGTACCAGCTCATCTTAGCTTTTTGGCATATGAGCTAACATTGGTTAAGATTTTCAAGAGATCTTAGCTTACTTAGATGAATACCTACATCACTCAAACATAAGACTTAATATTCTATATCCTATTGCAAGCTGATGAGACTTGAGGTCACAGTTCATGTAGGGTTTTGAAAGCTGTATCAAAAAGAAGCTGATTGTTAAGGTCCCTTCAAAATGTCTTTGATGCCCTGTTATGGTTCTCAGCATGCTAACCCAATTGTTGCCATGGTGACACTGTGTTACATCACAGGAAGATGCATCTGCTGGATGTCGTCCTCATTTTCCTGTTTGCCCAAGGTTTCCATTGTAATCAGTGTAAAATCTAGTTTGCTGTCCTAACTAATTTTGAATGCTTTCTGAAATGCCCCAAGTTGTGAGTTGAAAGCATGTTGCAGCAAGCTGGTGTCCTTTTGCCATGTGCACTTGGAGCTGATGGAAAGATCTGGCTGGTTGGTGATTTTCAGCTCTTTCTTCAGGCTTTCAGCTGTTCCTCTGCTTTTTACCTAGTAAGGAAAGGAAAGCATAGAAGGGGATTTCTTTGGCTGCTGCCCTTCCAGGGTTGTTGTTATTAAGGGTCAGTGTTTGAACTGATCTGGCATATGTCAATCTAAAATGCTCCCAGGTCAGATCCTGCCCTGACTTCCAGACACCACTCAGCTGCAGAGATGATGAGTTCCCCAAGCCTTGAGCCCAGGAACAGCACAGCAGTGGCAGGTCTTGACACAGCCCTGCACTTCCCATGGCTGCTGTGCTACTTTAACAAGCATCAGTTTCCAGAAGATGCTCTGCGTGGCACTGCAGTTCCACTCTTGGGTGCAGTGCTGCCATCACTCCTGTTCGTTGGCTCATGGCAGGATCACTCAGAAGAGTCTGCCAGTCCAGTAACAACCACTGGGAGGGAAGGACAGAGCTGAAAGAAGAAACACATTCATGTTGTCCAGCTTACTAATTTTGTTGCTGTGCTCTACAGTGGATGTAAATTAACATACTTTAAACAGAGGAAGAAAAATACCAGGTGGATCTGAGGTGAATCCAAATCTGCCTGGTCTTAGGTGTGCTTATTGCACAGTAATCCTGTAGTACCCTAAAACCTTGAAGGCAATGATAGAGGAAAGTGCAACAATCTAAGGGGGATTTTTCTTTGTACTATACGTTGCAAATGAGTTCCTTTTAGACATGGAAACATAGCTGAGCAACATAAATATTCTGTGCAGTAGGGACAGTAGTGTCACTCCATGGCCTGGGTGCCACCTCTGTGGGGAGAACACTTGGAATTTGTCTGAGAACTGATTTCAGCTGCCTGATCCTTGTTTCTGCTGTTTGAGTTTTCAGCTAACACTTAGAATTACTCCCTCTGCTTTGGCTACCTTGTCCTAAATAGCCACACATTACAAAATAGCAATGTAGGCTGGACATCTAAGGGCTGGTATATCTATAGTTCCAGTGACATGAGATAGGCACATCACTTTTTTTTAATACACAGATATCTAAGTGTGTGTGTGTGTATTCTTTGACACACAGGCACACCCAAGTACTTATTTCAGTGTAGAGTTCAGAAGCTATATGGAATTTAGAAAGACAAGATGTAGCTATAAAATAGCCAAATCTGCTATTTTTCAGTGCTATTTTTGGCATTGTTTTGTCATCTTGGAAGCTCTTTAACAGCAGACAAATCACTTTCTCTTGACACCTCAGCTGTTGAAATACTTAGGTGAATGCACTGATGATTGATGGGTGCACAGAAAAAGCAGCAGCTTTCTGTGCTTTGTTTTTCTGCTGCTGTGCTTCATAAATTAAACAGATGAAAGCTTGGAGAATCTTCCCTTGGTACTGGATGGTGTCGCAGCAGTTCTTTATTTAGAAGGCCTGCTGAGTACCACATGAAATACAGTGGAAGTGTGTTTGATACTGTGAAGGCAGATTGCCTTTTTCACAAAGTCTGGGTATGTATCCACATCAGGTTGCTGATTTTTTTTTTTTTCTTTTTTTTGGAGGCAAAACAGAGGAATGAGAAATTATTAATTGTGATTGAGGACTGCTGCAGTGTTTTTCAGAAAGGGAAATATGCCGTATTCTTGGTTAGCTGCTCTTTTACATCTCTTTTTATTTAAGTGTTTGATGTCTGGTTCCTGATATTATGTTCAGATCAACAAATTTTCTGCTGAGACAGGCTCTTACATGTGGAAGTATTGCCTTATATCAAAAAAATCTAAACAACAATCTCCTATTAGCTGCACATCCCCTTACATAGTTGTCCTGGTTTGGGGTAAATAGAGCTGGTTCTGCTCTGTGATTTTACTTTTTGGCTAAAGTTCTTCTAATTAACTGCTCTGTCTGAGTTAGCAGCATTTTCATAAACTATCTGGGTGTAGCAGTGATAAGACTTCATGTTTAGAGTCACTGCCAGGGGTTGGTGTGCAGACCAAGGCCATTGTTAAGCTTGGATCCCACATGAAGGAGGGCAGAGAGCACCCTGCACCTGCAGGGAGGAGCAGACAGAACAACTGACCCCAAGATTCACC